GGGAGGTGCAGATCTAAAGCATTCCCCCAGGCTCAATGGAATTACTGCTTGGTCCCTGCTGGGGGCTGCTGCTGTCATCATGTAAACAGAAAACATCAGGAGGTTACAAAAAGATGAAATAAGGGTAAAAGTGACTAGTAGTACATTTTGGTTTCACAATATATTGCCAACGAAATTCAATGTTCTCCAGAACTGTTGTTTTATCTTTGGGTCGGTATGTATATTTATCCTTTTGTAACATATTGCAAAGATAATCTTCTTTCAACAATGTAGGAAATAAGATCTTGCTTAATTTGCAAACAAATATTTACACATATACAGTAAATATTACATATATACAGAATATTTATCGATATATATATATATATATATGTATATACTGTATATATATATATATATATTCTGGACGCCAGAATGGGTCCTGAATGGGAAATATGTTCCCCTGTTATTTGGGTTGTGGTCCCTTTAAGGCTCATGACTTGTTTGCATTTTTAAGTATTCCTGGGTTTTCATCCATGCAGGTTGAGGGGTTTTTGGGGTAGACCACTTGGAGAGGAGAGAACTGATTACAGTGGTCCCGGGATTGGTATGTCCTCATTTGGGACCCAGAATTCAGAGTCTCAGAGAGACTTTTGGGTGGCAAACACCAGGACTCAAAACGTAGTGGAAACCTCCCCATTACAGGTTATGTTCAAGGAGGATGAGGGGGAAGGTTCATCCAATCTTGCCCATCCTGACCTGGCAATGTTAAGTGGTGCATTTGGTGCTGCCCAAATACGGGACCTCGCATTAAAGAAAACAGCAAACAGGTCAAAGTGATTAATGGGGTATCACAAGTGGCCAAGGTTGAAATAAGGTTTCCACACTTTTCAGTTCATTATGAGTTGGTATACCAAATCAACGAAGTCCAGAGTGAGGTGATTGACCAGTCACTGGTGCATAAACCTTTCAGAAGCATGGTACTCAACTTGGCTCATAAATTGGGAGTTGACGTGGAGGCCGAAAAAATAGAGGCACAATGGCAGCAAAGCGTCCAGTGCGTCCCTGCACCCAATTCAACCATTTAGTGCGGGGATGCACTGGATGCCTTCACTGCCATTGTGGTTTTGCTGGACATCATGTGCTTTCCTGTCCTTTAAGGAGGGGTGGGCTCCCTGCACGCACACGTGTCCTTAAACTGTCCATTGATATATGTGCTCCTACTATGGAAGCTCTGAATATTATAGACTTAGGACTGCAGTATATACAGAGGTCCCTTGACGTGGGCACTGCAGCTTATGCATGTATTTGTAAATGTGTGCAAATAAATCCTCTGTTTTTGACGTAAACTGTTAGACAGGGCAATTCAGTTGTTTTGCAGGCTTGCTGGTAAGTGTGCTGAGAAATCTACATAAGGATAGCATAGAGGGTAAATGTTTGGAGGAAGAGTGGTCAGAAGGATCAGATACAGAGCAAATAGTTAAAGAGCTTGAACAGGGAAAGGGGGGTTGTGAGAAAGTAAGATAATTTATGGGGCCTATAGGCAAGGGCCCCATCACAGGCAAGTTCTTACAAGTCAAAACTGAAGTGGAGGAACCAGGGGCGGACTGACCATTTGGAAACTCGGGCACTGCCCGAGAGCTCGGGGTCAGTAGGGGGCACCATGAGATGCCCCTGGTACCTTTTTCTAGGCTTTTTTGAGTTTGGGCAAGGACACAGGGGCCCCATGATCCCTTATTGCCCGAGGACCCCATGAGCTGTCAGTCCGCCCCTGGGAGGAACTGTTTAGCCAAAGGTTGCCCTTTAGGCAGGTGCAGTTTGGCCTCCCTGCATAGGTGGTGCTGTTCAGCAGCCACCGTGCAGAGAGAGTGGAGTGCAAGGGGAACCCATGTTCCTCTGAGGCCTCCGTAGATGTCATCAGGAGAGCAGCTGTCTGTCTGGACATTGCTATTCTAGATGAGCTCAGCAGCCATCTTTAGTGTGGGTAGTTCAAATAATAGTACTGTCCTGCTTGGCTGGCGCATATTTGTGAAGTGGCTAGGTCAGGGACAGGAAACCCGCTGGTCATGGAGAGGTTCCAATGGAAGAGGGGCAAAGTAGGGACAGCTCACTTGATTCTCACAGAGAAGCCCTTACCATTCAGGTGCCTCATTTCTGGTCCGCTTTACAGCCACCTCCTCTATCAGATGCTGTTGGGTATCAGCAGTGTGTACAGGTATCTTCTGCATGACTCTCTGTAAGTGCTGCTGGGCTGGTGTGGCCATGTATACAGACTTTGTACCACCTTGTCAGAACTCTTACATTAATATACTTTTCTTCACTACTTGGCCTCCGTGTGCAATCTCTCCTATCAGTTCGATGCTACATCTGTCCCCACCACCTCTAAGACTGAAAACTGAGTGATCAAAGGCGGCTGATTGCTCAGTTCTTGGTCTTCAGCAGAGTAATCAATGACTGTCAGCCACTGCTGTCTGTGAATCAGGGGCTGTCAGTCACTGGCTCTCTGCTCTGCTCCTCCAGCGCTCACTGGAGTGCTGATCTGTGGGGTTGGCAAGAGCAACTGGCTGAAGCTCTCAGCAGCGCGATGAGAGGCTGATCCCGCTGCCGGTCCAGGCATCTGGGTGGAGCTTGACATTAAAGTCGGGACCTCTCCAAAGCCTGGATGGGCTAAATGACGTCAGCAGACAGCAGACATTAGCCCGCTGTCAGCTGAATACGGGTCACAGGAATATAGATCTAAGTAAGTGTATTCTTATGACCCACAAGAGAAGTATGTAAGTATGTACAGTATGTGCCATACCTGTGGAATCCCCATGGAAGCTGGAAATCACTGTAGTAGGTATTGCTACTACAGTGATCTCCACTAGCTTCTGGGTCCTGTGAGAGCCCTGCTGCATTGTGAATGCAAGAGGTGTTCACTTGGCATGGGCACCATTTAGGGAACACTTTGTAGTTTCTCAGTGAATGCAAAGCTTTCTCTGATTGGATGAGGTGGAGAGTTGGGGGTGTGATGTCATTAACATCCACCTCGTCCAATCAGAAAACACTTTGTATTCACTGAGAAAATACAAAAGTGGGAGATGTAATAAAATTGGAGAGGGCAAAATCTGGTTCAACTCTGCATAGAAACCAATCAGCTTCCAGATTTTCAAATCAAAATCTCTGTGAATCCCCAAAGAAAAGTAAATCTTTCACCCTTGAAAGTGCAAATATCATAAACCTTTTCTGCAATCCTTCCCCAAAACTCAAATCCTACCCCACATTCCCAATATATCCAAAAATGTCCACAATGCAAAGTCCAAAATTGTCCACACTATCCAGTCTTCCATCTGTAATAAATATCCGATTCGTCACTCCAATCCAAGATACCTCAAAAAATTTTAAACTGAATATAGTGCATTATCTTTCAAATGATATATTATTATGTGATATCATGCAAAAACACTAGTGATATAAAACATAATATAAGCAATATTATAAAATCCACACGTGAAGTTCAATGAATCCACACAACTCAACTAGTGATATGGTGAGATAATCACTCCAACAAGTGATCCCTTGAGAGGAAGTCGGAGGTGACGAAACGCGTCAGGGTGACGTCAGATGCAAAACCGGAAGGAGCAGCGTGGCCATCTTGGATGTGGTTTCTGCATAGGATGGATGTTTTTTTCCTCATATGTAAGCAGATAATAAATGTTTGAATTTTATGTATATACTCCACTGAGTCTTCTCTTCTCTGCCCTGTGAGGAACGGGGGCATCCCACTGCATACTCCCATAAGAGGAAAGCCATCTGGCATGTGGGAATGTATGAAACGCCTGTGTAAGCTGAAAGAGGGTAATAGCATGTTATCCTAACGCAGAGTGGTGGCACCTATTTGGTCTAGTGCACTTTATCACTGGCTACATATTTTGGATTTTATTATTATTATTATTATTATACAGTATTTATAAAGCGCCAATAGTTCGCTCAGCGCTGTACATTACAGAGGGGGACAGAACATGTGACAGAACAATACCAATACAATGCAAAACATGAGGGGATCGAGGGCCCTGCTCTTTCGAGCTTACAATCTAGGAGTTGTTGTATTTCACTTGTTTGGAGTGATTATCTCACCATATCACTAGTTGAGTTGTGTGGATTCATTGAACTTCACGTGTGGATTTTATAATATTGCTTATACTATGTTTTATATCACTAGTGTTTTTGCATGATATCACATAATACTATATCATTTGAAAGATAATGCACTATATTCAGTTTACATTTTTTTGAGGTATCTTGGATTGGAGTGACGAATCGGATATTTATCACAGTTGCAAGATTGGATAGTGTAGACAATTTTCGACTTTGTATAGTGGACATTTTTGGATATATTAGCTTCCAGGTTTTATTTCCAAACCTTAATTGAACAAGCTGAAGTTAGAAGCTGATGGGTTACCATGCACAGCTACACCAGATTCTGAGTACTCCACTTTTAGTAAATCCCCCCCACAGTGTTCTCTGAATGGAACCCATACCAAATGGGTGACATCCTATGTTCAATCAGCAGGAGGGCAGTTATTTGGCACTGGACCCAGAAGCTAGTGGTGATCATTTTAGTAGTGGTGCCTACTGCAGTGATTTCCAGCTTTCACAGTGATCACACAGGTTTGGCACGTACATACGTACATTAGTCCAATGAGGATCAATGCAACTATGTAGAAATTGTCATAACTAAACTTCAGCTTTAAGCCTGGTTATCTTTGCTTTCAACCTCCACAAAAAGGACCTTTGCCACTGTTGAATTTTTTTCAAAGCTTGCTGTGTATTCCTGTGAAGGTTCATGACAAATCTGGAACCCTAAATGTGTCCCTTCCTATCAATTAGTTCTGAAGGACACACAATCGCTGTGTACCTATTGTGTAAGAAGTGCAGCATTTACTGGAAATTACAGAGTTTGGAAATGCCTGGGGCTCCTCCTGCTGTCTGAGTCTTTGCCTTGGGCTCTGGCCACCCCCTGGTTTAAAACCAGCTGTCCAGCAGGCAGTGCACATCTGTTGGCCATGGGGTGCAGAACTGTGTGCCTCGTCCTCCTGGCCCTTCTGGCTGGAACCTACGCACAACCGTAAGTACACACAAAAAAGGATTACATGTTCAGTACTTATAGTGTGCTTATTAACTAATCCAGTATAGATGCAAATATTCTCCATCCCTGTAGGAGATCAGTTTGTTGTTTGGCAGCCTTTGTTTTCTGTTAGATTTGCAATCCAAAAAAGAACAATTTAAATTTTTTATTTCAGGTACTTATATAGCACCATCAATTTATGCAGCACTTTACATATATATTGTACATTCACATCAGTCCCTAACCCTCAAGGGGTGTACAATCAAAGGTCCCTAACTTACATTCATACATACACATACTAGGGCCAATTTAGACAGGATCCAAGCAGGGGCGGACTGAAAACTCATGGGGCCCCCGGGCAATAGGGGATCATGGGGCCCCTGTGTCCTGGCCCACACCCAAAAAAGCCTATGAAAAAGCCAATGAAAAGTACCAGGGGCGTCTCATGGGGCCCCCTACTGACCCCGGGCCCTTGGGCAGTGCCTGAGTTTCCAAATGGTCAGTCCGCCCCTGGATCCAAGTAACCTACCAGCATGTCTTTGGAATGTGGGAGGAAACCGGAGTACCCAGAGGAAACCCATGCAGACACAGGGAGAATATGCAAACTCCAGGCAGGTGGTGCCGTGGCTGAGATTTGAACCAACGACCCGAGTACTGCCAGGTGGAAGTGCTAACCATTTAGTCACTGTGCTGCCCACATATGCTTCAATTTATGTTATTTTTTTTTTTTTGTGCTTGTTCAACATTGCAATAAAGCTTCTACTTCTGCTGTGATTATAAAAATATTGTTTGAAGTTAAAGTGTATGTAGAGCCAAGATTTTTTTTTTATTTTTAAGAGACAAGACCCCTGTTAGACATTTTTGTGGTCTGTGTCACATTTGCAGAGATTTCCCTTCACTTCTGGTCTTGGAAACACAAAAAATGAAAAAAAAAATCCGGAGTAAAGGGAAAACGCCTCAACACACACATTACAATCTAATTGTGCAATCTTCTTTAGATTTAACAACAGCTATGTAGTCCAAGGGCCTGCCGAATTGCATACAATTTTTTTAATAAATTAGGTAGATCTTCATATTGTATATGGAAAACAAAGAGAGGGCGCACAGGTCTAGTGCATTACCTTAAAAAATGGGATTTGAATACATTTTGGCCAAGATTTATGATGAAATATTATTTATTTGCAACATTTTATAAGAAAAACACTTTTTTTTATACTTTTGGACTTTTATCATTTACATAGCAAAAAAAAATTAAAATCCCAGTGGTGAATAAATACCACCAAAATAAAGCTTTATCTGTCTCAAAAAAATGCTAAAAAATTCATATGGGTACAGTGTTGCATGACCGCGCAATTGTCATTCAAAGTGTGATAGCGCTGAACGCTAAAAATTGGCCTGGACAGGAAGGGGGTGAAAGTGTCCGGACTGGAAGTGGTTAATAAATAGTAAAATACTCACAAAGAAATGCAAAATCAAATTAAAATGGAAAGCATGTCGGAAGGGCTGCAGAGTGGTTCAGGAACCACTCAGGGCACACTGGCTCTGAGGAAGAGGTACAACCTCGAAACGCGTCAGCCACCAGCTATCCAGAGGCTCACAGTCCTCCACCAGACCACCCACAGGGGTTCCTGAACCATTCTGCATCCCTTGCAACATGCTTTCCATTTTAATTTGATTTTACATTTCTTTGTGAGTATTTTACTATTTATTAATAAATCCCATTTTTTAAGGTAATGCACTAGGCCTGTGCGCCCTCTCTTTGTGTTCCATATACAGTTCTCTTTGGATTTCCCTGGTCCATTGAGGGCAGCAAGGCCTGCATTTCTCTACCTCATGGGGATACTAATATTGTGGAGTCCACAGTTCAGCGCAGGAGCACATGCATTCGGTTGCTACATTCTTCTTTCCAGATCTTCATATTGCCTAGTTTTGGTACATCTAAAATTGGTTGCACGACGGTCAGATTGTAAGGTATTAGAGGACTCTTATAATAATAATAATAACTAGAAAAGCTACAATTTCTGGGGTAATTGTGTGAAGTGTTCTTGCCTCCAACAGTAGTCTACAACCGGGGGGTGGTCGCAGTTTAGAAATTTCCCTTCAAATTTGAGGTGGCTAGAGTGCAGTTTCAATGAATGTCAATGGGCGGCATGACTTGCAAACAAATGGTCATATTGTGAAAACTATCAGGACTATGGCTAAGCCGTGGACATTTTTAGTGGTAGCAGGGATAGCTGAACGTTGTGATATAAGATTTGTGTAGGTGGGCTTGAAAATGAGGGAGTGATGGCAGTTTAGATATCATGTCCTGATTTTTCAGCTCCCACTCTAGCTTTTGTCAGCTCCCACTCTAGTTTTGAACATTCCTCCATTCATTTCTTGGGACCAATTTCACCACAAAAATGGCGATATTGTTGGTTATGTGTTAGAGAAGACACTGGTAGCTTGTGATGAGGCAGAACTCTGACTTTACTTGTGTGGCTTAAGTTGCAAACATACAGAATACATTTCAGCAGACATCTTGGTTTTGAAGAGAGAGAAAAGAGAAAGGTAGAGAGAGAACCAACAAGTTTTACACATATGCACAGCTAGTAACCTTAGTGTACAGTGCCATCTACTGGTCAAGTGATATTAACACACAATACTATATAGTACATGCTGTTGTATCTCCAACAGATATTTTGTGAAGCATTCGGCGAAACGTTCCACAAAGTAATAGCACACCAATCGGGAACAATCCGCACGTTTCGGTATATTACTGTCTGTGTCGTGTAAAAACTGTGGGAGGAGTTAGGGTGGTAAATTTGGCTATAATAATAAGAATATATATGTGAGATAACAGTAAGTGGCCGCCATGCAAGAACACTTAATAATACATAATAATAATAATAATACATTTTTTATAGGTGCCTTTCAGAACACCCAAGGTCACCTTACAAATATAGCAACAGAGCAACAAAAAATAAATAAAATAAATATAAATTATTTTATAACCATTAAATTACAAAATCAAATCAAGGAAATCAAACAGAGTATACTAGTTTAAAAAGATGAGTTTTGAGACGTGATTTGAAGATGGGTAGGAAATCAATGTTGCGGATGTCAGGTGGCAGGGTGCTCCAAAGTCGGGGGGCAGAGCAGCTAAAGGCCCATAATAGTCAAGCGGTCGGACGGACTGAACATTGAGGTGGATGATAGAAGAAGACCTGAGAATGCAGGAGGGTCTATTGATATGCAGATGTTCAGAGAGGAACGGAGGAACGAGGTTGTGGATGGCCTTAAAGGTAAGTAACGGAATTTTTAGGTCCATTCGATATTTGACCAGGAGCCAGTGAAGGTGCTGAAGGACAGGAGGGATGTAATCAAAGGAGGGGGTTCTGAAGATGATGTGAGCAGCAGAGTTCAGAACCAGTTGTAGTTTATGGAGAGACTTGAAAGAAAGACCAAAAAGAAGGAAGTTTCAGTAATCTATGTGGGAGGTGACCAAATTATGAATGAGAACGGCAGTGCTGTTGGGTGTGAGAAACCGATGGAGGCGAATAATCATAGGTAGATGGATATATGCTGACTGAGTGACATTACTGATGTGTATTTGGAAAGATAGTGTACCACTTGAGAATGACACCCAGACTATATACCGGAAAGGGAGGTAAAGACTGTGGAGTTATCAATATTTTATTGAAAAAGTGTTAAGCTTTGTCAGGGTGGACTTTGTGCCAATGAGGAGAACCTTGGTTCTATCACTGTTTAATTTCTGAAAGTTGGAAGAAAGCTAGGCTTTGATTTCCTGTAAGCAATCAGTAAGGGATTTGGGTGGAAGGGTGGTGTCAGGGATCCGGGTATGACCAGAAATGTGTGGACTGACACAGGGAAGTAACAGGCTTCAGGAATGATATAATAACAATACAATTTATTATTAGCCACCCAAATATACAACGCACAGTAAACAAACCAACTTTCCAGTAATCTTAGTATGTGCAGAAACACAGGCGTAGTCAGGGCTGGAGAGGTGGAATAGTCAGGCCGGCCATATGGTTCTGTTAACGACCGTCTGGTGGTACCTCTAGCAGTCCTCAGGACAGGATTCCCCAGGGCGCGGAGTCTAAGTCCCAGTCTGCTTATTCACCAGGGCCCCTGATGGTGGGGATGGACTTGGAGCAGACAGGAACCAGGTCGCGGCCCCTGAGTACACCTGCTCGTGGTAGAGGGATCCGCCAGAGGTATATACTGATGTGAAGAGGTAGAAGGTGTGAGCAGGGATGGCTGGATCCGTGCAGGATGGATGGATGGATCGTCTGGGTAGCGTAAGGCGTAGTCAGGCAGGCCAGGTCAGCAACGTGCGGGCAGCGAGGTACCGAAGGAGCAGGCAGAGAATGGTCAGGGTCACAAGCCGGGTTCAGTAACTCACGGGCAGCGCGGTACAGAGGATCAGGCAGAGAATGGTCAGGGTCACAAGCCAGGTTCAGTAACTCACGGACAGCACGGTACAAAGGATCAGGCAGAGAATGGTCAGGGTCACAAGCCGGGTTCAGTAACTCACGGGCAGCACGGTACAGAGGGTCAGGCAGAAGGATGGTCAGGCAAGCCAGGGGTTAAACAGGAGACGGTCAGCAACAATGCAGAGGTTGGCAACAGAAGATAGGCAGAGGAACAGGAAACACAGGATACCAGGTACAGGGGCTCATGGGAAACAACACCAAGGCACTGACTGCAGGCCTGGCCATTCCTTAAATACACCTCCTGCAATCAGCCTCAGGTGATGGTTTGATTGCAGGAGTGAGCTTCTGGCTGCTGAAAGCACCTGCTGGCCAGCCCTGGTACTGCAGCCCACATGGCAGGTGAGTCCCACCACCAGTGGTGAATCCATTCCTGACAGGTGGTAGTAGTTTTAATGAGCAAGTAGAGGTTGGTGGCATCCGCGTAACAATGGAAGTGGCTAATAAATGTACTAAATATAAGACCTAGAGGAAGAAGATAGATTATGTACAGAAGGCAGTTAG